TTCTCCTCTTGTATCACACCAAAGAGCAATCGTGCACGGAGAGCTCCGCTATGCTTTCCCAAACTGACAATTTGACATTTTGCGGGGTGCGTAGTGAGTTCTTGAAAATGGTTTCGTTGCTTCAATTTCTTTCCGCGGGTGATGTTCTGTGGGTTTCATCTATTTCAACAGCAACCCAAACAGGGGACACGGTGTTTAGATTTTCAAGCCGCCTGTTTTAGATACATTGCTACTAGACCAGGCAATCGCCTTTTACATGACGTAGTCATAAGGTCCAAAAGGGTGTGAAGGCTGAGCGAGCAGACAATGCAAGCGTTCGTGTTTGTTCCTGGTAGCTGCTTGGTATGTTTCAGATCGCTTTGGTCCTGGTGCATAAGTCGTTCTTTTGGAGTACTTACTGCTGCGCATGATGGGCATAGTTCAGATTCCCCCCGACGCCCACCGGAGTACCGGGAGTAGTTAACATTTTGTTTGCTTGGTTGGTTGGTTGGTGTTTTGAGTTTGGTGCAGATTCCTTGAGAACTGGCGTCAAGTTTCTCCCGGTTCCGTTGGACGTTGGCGGGAAAGCCAGGCCTAGTCGCAAAAATAGCCACAGACAGGTGGGTCTCCAAATGGAAGAGCCTCAAACGTTGGTGGTTTCCCTTTGCTCTCCCATTTGAACCAACATCCACAAGGTGTGATTTTTGCGTTTAAGGGTTCCATGAACCCTGATAGTGTCAGTGCACACAACCTATAAACTATAGACAGTTTAGGTCAAATTCTACAAGCAAAACAACAAGGCCAAACATGATAAGACCAAACCATGAGCTTTATGCGTGTTCTTCAGAATGGGGAGTGAAACTCACAGATGCTCTCTGTGCGGCTGCATTAAGCTTCTTTGTCGGATCGCAGGAGATACTGCGCTGCTTCCCGGTGGCTGCATGTTTTTCTTTGAGCCAGACCTTTACCATCATGGCCTACAGCGCCGCAGCCGCTTGGACTCGGGGGATGGTACCCATACAGCGCCTGTGTAATCTGCAGTTGCCCCAGGGCTGTTGCATGCCTTGGGAGCTAGATGCGAGCCCGATGATTCCAATGCATTTCAATCTGGCAAAGTGCAGATGTTTCCACTGTGCGGCATTTCCAACGAGTTTCACGACCCTTGGGTTTTGTGTGACTATCAGCTTTTAATTGGGTGTGCCTAATGAACAACCATTTTGGGTTCCAAGCCTATCTGCACTGGGGCCTATCGAGGATTTAACGTCTGGGAAACCATGCGATTTTCCAGCACGTCTGGGTGCCAAATAGCCAATTGATTTAACCAAAGCACAACCAGAACCCGGGATCAGCATTTCTTTAGTGTTCAAACATGGACAACATCGATGTTTTTAGGTCCCCCTATTTTGCACCCACACCACCTTTTGTTTACATCCCCGTCCATCCTTTCTGGACCCAATGAATTCTCATCAGGGTGCCATTTGCCTCGGTCACACGTATTGGCTGTTCAAACCTCCTGTTCGGAGTGTCATGACCATCTCCAACTCCAAATCCGACATTTCTGAAATGTTGCAGTAGTCAGTGTCCGTGTTTTGATGCACGTAAGAGCTTGCATACTGTGTGTAGTTTTGCGAGGCTCCTGCCAAGTCGCTTTGGAAGCCAAGGTGAGCGGTATGCTGAATACTGCAGCTTGGACGGCAACTTGATGACTTGAAGTTCTGTTTGCCAGCCTTCCGATGCCAGTCTGCAGAATCGAGTTTTGGCGTGGAACAAACTCAAATCCAAGGTTCCCCTTTAAAGTCAACCAAGCAACAAAAGGATGCCCTTTTTCTCCCAGGGCCACTGGGCATCTGAGTAATTTGGCGAGCTTGAGCAAGCTTCCTTGCAGCGAGCCTTCACTTGACGCCGGGTCATGGACTTTGTTAGTCTACCGTTCATTTCAGCCAGGGGGTAGGGACTCGTTTCTCAGTTTGATCAGAAGGGCGGACTACCTAATGTCTGCGTATCCGTTCGACTATTTTCATGTGCGCGGTTCACATGCCCGCAAATGGGCCTGGTGTCTCTGGTGTCTCTGGCTCCACCAAGGGTCATTTGCCTCAAGCTGCTTGGGCCGGAACATCCTCTTTTCGTGGGGCGTACTGGATCCAGAAGGAACACTGGATGCTGAATGTCGAAACGGGTTGGCGGTCAAGGGACGGTTCCTTGCCCCCATACATTTATCCCTCTGTGGATAAGAACATGCAGGGCCGCGCTTTTTTCCAAATCCGGGCTGGTGGAACTTGGGCATTGTGTTTGAGGAAGCAAAGCTAAAAGATCACCAGCTTCGCACCCACATGGGGTTGTGTCAAATGGCAGACATCAAAAAAGGCTCAGTTTCGTGCTGGTTATCCTCGAAAAAAGACACATCCAGGCGCTGCGCGATCCAGTGTACTGTTGAGCAAGTGCAACATTTGTGGATCCGTCAACTTGCGAGCTGCTCAACGAGCACTAAAATCCCACTAAACATGGGAAGGACACTAATATACACATTTGTTGCCCTCAGCAGTCACACGGGTTTCTTTCTGCTCATCATGACTTTGGCTCTTTTGGTGCCACAACCCCATTCCAATCATGTCTGTTTGGGCCAGAAAGCATTTTTTCCACTTGTGGAATACCAAGCCAAAGTAGATGGTTGAACTGCTATCTTAGGATCTTAGGGGTAATCTGCCCAGTCAGAAGTAGAGCCCATAATATATTGTACCTCCACGATCAGATTCAGTATGACTCACACCTTTGCCTAGCAGGGACCTCTCTGGAGCTTCCGGGCGCACTTACAGGAGGCGTATGTCGTTTAAGTGGGTATGTGGGTTGCGATGAGCTTTGGGGTAATTTGGTTTGGAAGTAGCCCACCTTGTTCTAACCTTAAGCTTAGATCCCCCATATGCCGACCTCCACGCGCTTTTCGGAAAATTGAGGTGGTGGGCAATCTGTACTTGCCCCTGTCCGCGCTTCTCAGCCGCTGGATCTTCGGGCGGTCCTATAGCTTCCTCGAGTGGCTGGCGCTCACCGTGCGGGGCTCAAGAAAGGCCACACGAAGATTCCTGGAAGGAGGGCTTGGAGTGTTTTTTTTCCAGGGCTGTCTGGGCCATAAATTTCTATTCTTCTGCCTCTTGGCAATCCTCCAATACCAAGTGCTGGGGGGGGCCTGTGTTCAAACATGTTTATAGTGAACCGCGACGGTTTTGACAAGCTTTCTGCTTCGTTTGGTCACTAGGTGCTGATGCTCAGCGCCAGCGTCTTCGTGCTGCTGCAGGATTCGCCCAAAGGCGAGGCTGAGTGAACCCGAACGGGGGTGCAAGGTGGGGTGGGTGGGTAGACCCTTACCGATTTCCATCCAAGTAAGACACTTGAAGAAGTTGGGAACACGTCGGTTTGCGTCAAAAAAGAATCCGCAGGTTGTCCTTGGCTTTCCCTCTAGCCTGGTTCAGAAGAACTGATTTCATGGGTGTAAGCCCCTAACGTCCCCCCGTGCCCTGGCAGGGAGGAAACATGGGGAGTGTGAACCTTAGCGGGGAGTTTAATGGGGTCGGTAGATAGGATTCTCCAGCGCGCATCCAAAGGTTCCTCCAAAAATCAAGATGCCCAGTTCTTTCCGGGACCGATTTCGACTAGATCAACTATCATAGAGGAGATGTGCACATGCGCTCCAAGGCGCATCAATTGGGACACTGCCTTGACGTTTTGTGTGAGAACGTAGATTCGTTGCAGACCGGTATGTTGGACGAAATTCCTGGCTTCCGAAGCAGGTAGAAACGAAAACATGTTGGAGGGTCAAAGATCCACCCCGACAATATGCTCACCATGGCTGATGTGACTTTACCCTCCTGCAAATTAACATGAAGTCATTATTATATGTTTAGAGGACTCTGCTATTGGGGCACCCTTTTTTGAGTTTGATCTTAAGTTGAGCCTGAACCTTCCGGCCATGAAATGATAACAGAAGTGCGCTGCTATGGGTATGGGTCACTATGAAACCACCAGGATATGGACCGCAGATTTTAGTCCTTTCCATCTACCAGGGTTCCATTTGGGGTACCTACTGTGGATGGACGAAATCCTGCACCAAATAAGAAACCCTGGAATGGTGATTCCCCTGTAAATACCAACGAACTGTGGTTTCCCATAGTTTCAATGTATTTTTGACCCCCACCCATATGGTTGGTGTGGGGGGTTGGGGCCACTCGACGGCCCGCTTTCGCTTCGGCTGGTTGGTTTTTCTCGCAGGCGACACGCCGGCGAATATCTTCTCCACGGGCATTTGCCCGGCTGCCCAGTGGGGTCGACCTGGTTTGCCGCAATTTGGTTGGGAGACCGGAAAAAATCACGGGGGTGGCTTCTTTAAAGGGTACCCTTTTTGGGGTTGGCTTAACTGGACACCAAATAAACACAAGTCATTTTCTGGGGTCTCCCACAAAAGGGGCACCCAAATGGGTTGTACCATTTGGGTTCGTTCGTTTCGAATGCTACACACTGTGTGTGTGTGTGTTTTGTGCAAGCTGGATCCCATTTGTTGGAACCTATTAGGGTCACCTGAATCTTGGTTCGGTTCCAGGCTGTCCTTATTGGTGCCTCTTGGAAACATGAAACTAAGAGTGGCGTGTGAGTTTCTGTTTGGGTAGGCTGCCCTGAACCTTTCCCGGCAAAGAGCAGGACGAATTTGAAGAAGTGAGTCGACCTGTGTGAAACAAAGAACCAGCGAGTGGCACCGTTTGTTCTTATGGGTCATGGGATGACCGGGCGCGGCAAGCCCCTGTATCCAATCACGTTCCTCTTCTTTGTTCTATCGTGTGCTTCCCTTGGCCACCTATACTGGGAAATGGGTGTGTGTGTGTGTGTGTTTTAGGGAATCCTCATAAAGGCTTAATGGTTTCTCGTTTGGTGTCCCTTCAAAACTGCAAGAAAGGGGTGCCCTCAAAAAAGGCACACCCAAATGGATGGAGTCATTGGGTTGGGGTACTTGTGCTTTTGGTCACCAGGGGTCCCGGGCTAAGGCTACGTGCTGCTCTCTGTGTGCATGTCGTGCTTGGCCTCGATGCTCTCTGAGAAAATCATGAAGGCCGGGTGGTGATCCCCGCCCGCATCTTGGGCCATGGCCGATACCTTGATTGACCCCGCGAGTTCGGGCTCCTTAAAATGGAAATTTAGAAGGTCGTCACGTTTCGGGTAGGGGGTGGGGACGTCACACATGAAGCTTGCATTAACCGTGGAACCCTTAGACCTACACAAGCCCACGACATGCACCCTGAATCAGGCCTTAATCTGGGGTTAGCAAGCTTACTCGCCCAAGTTGACATTGTGGTTTTCGCATTTGTTGCATTTTTAGTTGAGGCCCAAAAGGTTCGCCTCCATTTCCAGGTTCTCTGGTCAAAGAAGTGAACCCTAGCCACCCTTCCTGGTCAGGGGCTCCAGAACCTGCACGCAAGTCAGGCCCATGTGAGGTCGAGTCAAACTTGCCAACAGTCCATGGTCCGTTTTGGAGGGACGTGGGGGTCTACCTAGATTTGCCCGCACAAGAAAGACGAGGAGGTTCATCCGTGTCCCATGTCCTGTAGGGCAAACTTGTAGTTTTTGGCCATGCCTCCATGCCGCACCTGCTGGACTGGTTTGCCTGATACGGAGCCCAATCGATGTATACTTTTGTTTAATGGGTACCTTTTAGGTTAGGTTACGGGCGAAGCAAAAGAAAGCAACTGCGGCCCCCCCTTTTTGACAGAAACCTGTGTGCGTTTGTGTGTTGCTCAATTCTGAGAAATGGGATTGTCTCAAAATCCGGGGACGCCGAAATCGGCAGTTTCCTCGTAGTCTTTCAAAGAAACGAGCACACCCCATCTGGGTGGTATGACGAGTTGGTGGGATGAGTTTCAGAGTCTCTGAGTCCATCAAACTGATACCGCCCGCACCTAACACCCAAACGTACATCCTATTTTCGTCCAGTTTAGTCTTCCCGAGTCTTCCTATATATATATATATAGTGTGCGTGTGTGTGTGTGTTCAAAGCAAAACGGCAACAAGGTTTTGCTCAACACCTTGACAAATAGGCCCGGTAAACCCATAACAAATCAGCTGAACGGGACAGAAGAACAAAACAAAACAACAGCCACCCACAAAAGCTTGGCACCTGCATTGAAAAGCCCAAGCTCACACGTTCCACTCTCGTGCTTGGTGGGTCCCACAAGCACACCTCCAGTTTTTGTATCTAGTTTCTTCTTCCCAAAGTTGGATCCGTGTCATTTGGGGTGTGCTTGGGGGTTGGGGGTCTTTCGGTGAGAAGTTCAGGCTGGCAGCAGTCATTTCTACATCCAGAAGGTGAATCTGGACGTGGGGAGCTTTGCGACATCAGCGCCTTGGCGGGGGCCAAGACCCCTCCAATGGGCTGCCTTTGTTTTCACCCTTTTTTGTTTGTTTGTTGGGGGGGGGGGGGGAGATTGGTACGCAACGGGAGTCTGCAGGTGTTTGTGGTCGGTGTTTTTTTCTCCTGCAAGTGGCTTTTTGTTTCACAGCGCTATTTGCCCAGGTTCTGAGTAGATGGAGGTTGATCAGCAGGTCCTTGGAATGACTTGTATTGTGGAGGACCAGAATTAGCACTGAGACGTTTGTGCCCACAAAAGATCCGCGAAGGAGTCTGCGAGAAGTTTTTTGTCGCGCGAAAGCTTGTGCACTTACATGTTTGCAGGCCCCACTCCCTTGTAGACAGGGAGATGTGCAGCACTTCTACTTGGGTCCTTGGTTCCCCGCCTGCGCTGGGAATGTTTGCAAAGCAAAACGTTGGCTGGGTTTGGAGCAAGTTTCGCGAATGACCGGCGAAAGACCGGCGAAAGCCCATGGAGCTTGTCGCAAGGTTCCGCGCGTTGGGCCCAAGACAGGGCAGCCCAGTCACGGCGCGCGCAAGTGGAAAGTGCGCATGGTAGTGACTGCTTTCTCTTCACGTTGCCGCGAAGCCTGCCAGTGCAAGTGAAAGGGCGCGTTTTAACTACGACAAGAAAATGAGAACTACGACAACAAAATGAGAACTACGACAACCATCACTACGACAAGGTCCCACACACACACACCGACAAGGCTCTACACATGTTGCATAATCAGAGGGACTATATGCGCTGCGCTTGTTTCACTGCAGTTTGTATGCGGGGCAAGGCTTTACTTGCATCATCACAGGGACCACATGTGCTGCACTTGTTTCCGTGTAGATCGTATGTGGGTTTGTAGGATTTCTCATGGAGAGTGGGTTCATCGTATTGACATGAAAAAAGAGCGCGGTCCCGTCAGGCCACGCATCCATGAGGGGACAGCCGTCACCACAACACGGGCCAAAGAATTGGAGGAGGGACGTGCCACGGGCGATGTGGGGACAGCGGGCCAAGGACGGCCCCTCGTGGATGCGTGGCCTGTCGCAGTCCTGTCAGTCGATCCGTCGTGGACTCGTGTGGCCCGTCAATGGCTTCGTTGCGGGTGCCGTCGTGTAGCTCACGGGTGTTTATATGGCGCATCCCGTCGTGTAAGCCCCAACATTCACATCCCGTCGCAGGTCCCGTCGTGGCCGCGTCATTGGCCCGTCGTGGTCGCCACATCGCCCACGGCTGTCCCCTCATGGATGCGTGGCCTGTCCTGCAGGACAGGCCACGCATGACATGTCAGTCCAGTCACTCGATCCGTCCTGGGCTCGTTTTGTGTGGCCCATCACAGGTCTCGCAATGGCTCCGTCGCGGTGGGTGTTTATGGCCCATCCCGTCGTGTAAGCCCCAACATGTCACATCCTGTCATGAACTGTATTGTCGCCCCCTCCCGTCCCGTCGTGCAGCCCGTCGCAGGTCCCGTCGTGGCCCTGTCATTGGCCCGTTGTGGTCCCCCACATCGCCGTGGCACGTCCCTCCTCCATGGCCCATGTTGGTGACGGCTGTCCCCTCATGGATGCGTGGCCTGCGTCACAGTCCTGTCACTCGATCCGTCGTGGACTCGTCTTGTGTGGCCCGTCGCAGTTCTCGCAATGGCTTCGTCACGAGTGCCGTCGTGTATCCCGTCGTGTAAGCCCCAACATGTCACATCCTGTCATGAACTGTATTGTCGCCCCCCCCCCCGTCCCGTCGTGTTGCCCGTCGCAGGTCCCGTCGTGGCCCCGTCATTGGCCCGTCGTGGTCCTCCGCATCGCCCGTGAGGGGACAGCCGTGGGCGATGTGGCGACCACGACGGGCCAATGACGCGGCCACGACGGGACCTGCGACGGGATGTGAATGTTGGGCCTTACACGACGGGGTGCGCCATATAAACACCCGTGAGCTACACGACGGCACCCACAACGAAGCCATGGACGGGCCACACGAGTCCACGACGGATCAAGTGACAGGACTGCGACAGGCCACGCATCCACAAGGGGTCAACATGGGCCAATGTGGGGGACCACGATGGGCCAATGACGGGGCCACGACGGGACCTGCGACGGGCTACAGGACGCCGACTATACAGTTCATGACAGGATGTGCCATGTTGGGGCTTACACGACGGGATGGCCATATGAGCGCCCGTGGGTTGCACGACGGCACCCGCGACGAAGCCATTGCGAGTGTAGACGAGTCCACGACGGATCGAGTGACAGGACTGCGACAGGCCAGCGTCCATGAGGACAGCCGTCACCAACATGGGCCAAAGAATTGGAGGAGGATGCGTGGCCTGTCCTGTCAGTCCATGCAGTCACTCGATCCGTCCTGGACTCGTTTTGTGTGGCCCGTCACAGGTCTCGCAATGGCTTCGTCGCGGTGGGTGTTTATGGCCCATCCCGTCGTGTAAGCCCCAACATGTCACATCCTGTCATGAACTGTATTGTCGCCCCCTCCCGTCCCGTCGTGGTCCCCCACATCGCCCGTGGCACGTCCCTCCTCCATGGCCCATGTTGGTGACGGCTGTCCCCTCATGGATGCGTGGCCTGTCACAGTCCTGTCACTCGATCCGTCGTGGACTCGTCTTGTGTGGCCCGTCACAGGTCTCGCAATGGCTTCGTTGCGGGTGCCGTCGTGTAACCCACGGGTGTTTATATGGCCCATCCCGGCCCATCCCGTCGTGTAAGCCCCAACATGTCACATCCTGTCATGAACTGTATTGTCGCCCCCCTGTCCTGTCGTGTAGCCCGTCGCAGATCCCGTCGTGGCCCCGTCCTTGGCCCGTTGTGGTCCCCCACATCGATCGTAGCACGTCCCTCCTCCAATTCTTTGGCCCGTGTTGGTGACGGCTGTCCTCTCATGGATGCGTGGCCTGTCACAGTCCTGTCCCTCGATCCGTCGTGGACTTGTCTTGTGTGGCCCGTTACAGGTCTCGCAATGGCTTCGTCGCGGGTGCCGTCGTGTAACTCACGGGTGTTTATTGTAAGCCCCAACATGTCACATCCTGTCCCGTCGTGTAGCCCGTCGCAGGTCCCGTTGTGGTTCCCACCTTTTTTGTCGAGTTTCACGCTTTTTTTTGTCGAGGTTCAATTTTTAAGCTCTTGTCGTGGTTAAGCCGCGCCCTCGTGCAAGTGAACGCAGCGACAAGGGCTCCAGAGAGCACGCTGCAAACAAAAAGGGCGTGGCGATGGAGTCGCGAAAGGTTCGCGAGAGAGATGTTTTTTCCGGAAGAAGGGCGTCTTCCGGAAGCAGGAGTTTCATCAGCCGCCACATGCTTGCGTTTTAGGAGGGGACGTGTCTGTAAAATCAACCAAACAGGGCGTCCAAGGTGTCCTGCTGGAGGCTTTTCCTCCTAAAATCTGGCTGGTTGCCATTAGGTGGGTTGGATTGATTTGGCGATTTGGCCTTTGGTCCGAGGGGGTACATGAAAAGCCACCCCTCTCCAAAGCACAAATCCAGCCCACTAGGTCAAGTTCACGAGTGGCTTGTCCCGGTACGTTTGAAACACGCAGTCAGTTGACCTGGGTAGATGATGATTAGAGCAGGGATCAAAAAAGAAACAGGTGTGGATCTACGTGCTGCTTTGGACCTGGAGCCACAAAAGTGAACGTTTCCAAGGGTTCTCAGATCCCTTTAGTTTCTAGGTTCCTCAAGTATTCTGGGGTCTCTTCCCAAGAACGTTATATTTTTTGGGTAGACTAAAGCATGAAACAAACAATCATAACATGTTTGATTGTAGTTCACGTCCGCACGGCACAGGTTCTGATGCTCTGGGTCTGCGGCGTCACCAGCCAACGTCCGCAAGATGCTTTCTGGAAAGAGCGAGACGTCGGCGGCGGGAAGATGGAAGCAGGTGCGCTACCGCACCCGTGACCCGCATCGCGGTGTGTGTGTGTGTGTGTGTGTCTGTCTGTGTCTGGTTGGCCAAGTTTTGCTTCGCCGTCCAGTTGAAAGAGCCAAGTTGGGTGAGCAGCTATTCGGGCTACAGTGGCTGCGCCCCGTCAAGTAGAGTTAGCCCTTTCAGTAGGCTCGCACCCGTGATGCAAATTTTGAGAGGTACTCCTTTCCAAATAGGCGTGGAGCCCAAACAGGGCGTCCCCCAAAAGGAAGTTCTGCAGCAATGGTGTGAGTTGGGTTGTGTTGTTGAAAGCTGGCTTTGTTCAGCATGCACAGTCACCCCTGGGTGCCACACTGGGCTCGAAAGAGTTACATATGAGGCTGTCTCCAATTGACAATTGAGGGAGCGCCCACGGGTGCTTTCCTCTTTGTTTTCCTTGAAACATGGATTTCACGTTTCAACGTGTCGATGTCCTTTCGGTTTGTTTAACAAGACGTTGTGTGAAGGGTCATTTTCAGAGTTTCGCTTTGGGACCCGCGCCCTGAAGCCACATTGAGTTCTATTGAGCGGAAGTCCCCCAGTGGTTCCAGCTTGCCAACCCCACACTCCTTGGTGTCGTGGACTGTATACTTCTGGGTCTGAACCATTTCAGTGGCAAGCGCAAAGTTCGTTGACTTCGCCCACAGAAAGTGAGAGCCCACTTTCACATGGATAGAACCAACCCTTTCGGGGAGTGGCCTTCGAAGGGGTCATTTGCACCGGTATATCAACGGAGTGTGCCCAAACAGCCTTAGATAGTGTGGATAGCTGGCAAGCGGAATGGGCGAAGGGAAGTCCACTTGGAAATTATTTTTCACCAACTATTTGCGCGTGTCTTTTTTGGAGGGTACTCTTTTTGGTGGTTGGTTTACAGGGAAGCGAAAAGGAAGCCAACCATTTCGGGGGTCCCCTCATTTTGAAACAAATCTCTTTCACAGGGTGCGAACTGTTTGAATCGATGGTTTCCTGAACCCGAAGCCCTGTTCAATCCCAGCGCTGCATCCCTTTTCTCCTGCCCATTTTCTAGCATTTAGTGGTTTTTCACCCAATTGGAATAGGCTCTTGTGACCTTCAACGTTGAGTTTTCAAACGTACAACATGGGATCCTGCGAAAGTAATCTTCCCGAAGAGTACAAACCTCATTTTCCCATGGGGTGGTGGAATGTCGATCATCTCCAACACTATATACGTGTTTGTGTCTCAAATGACCAAGTCGAGTCGCGTGCCTCTCGCTGATGCGTCGAGTCGCAGGCGTCTTTGTGGGCTGGGACTGGAGGATGATGCTGGTGTTGGTCGTCACGCTCCTCCAGAACTGGTTAGCAGGACTCCGTCGAGTGGGAAAGGATTCGTTTGAATCAGATACCAAGACCCCCGGAAAGAAGCGCTACCAGCTAACTTGCTAGACCCAAATCCTTGCAAAGCAGGTGGCTTTTGGATGTATCCCAAATCAGGGCGATGTTGTAACCACTTCTGCATGGCTTTGAACATCTCTGGGTCGTTATCCTTTTTGGAACTCCATTGCAAGAAGGTTCTAGGAAGCCTTGGGTCTTGAACTTTGTTCCTTGCCTTGGGTAATCAGGTCCATACTCCAGGAACCCCTGCTCTGTGATACATTTCGGGAGCCTCTGCTAAGGAAGTGGTGGCAAATCCAAGAGCTCCGGGCAGAAAAGTCTCAGAGCCAGGGATCGCGAAAGACTTACGCCCATGGGTCCATATATGACGCTGTACGGGAACATGGGCTTGATTCACTGGGCTGAATGGCTCAGTAGGACAACAGGTTGGAGGTTGAGAGCCGGTTGGCTACTCAACATCCATATGCCTAAAGGTGTTGGTTTCAGAGGGAATGGTCATGACTGGAAATGGTGCTTAGCGGCACCTTGAGGAAATGGAGATCAAGCACCCATGGTTCACTTGCCTCCGAAGGAAACCAAACCACAAGGAGGTGGCAGGGTGGAGCCGAAAAGTAAATGGGTTTGGTCGCAGCTCACATCAGGTTCGACCACAGTGTCCACACGTGTGTGATCAAATCGCTCTCGGGATGGGCAGGGGTCCTTAAATTGCGCCTTTTCAAGGATCAAACTCGATTGTTTCAGGCCGCTAGTGAAATGTTTGGGTGGACCTTGAGAGACTCACCCGACTGCCAAGCGCAAGCTTCATTCATTTCCGACTCTTAAGGAAAATCTGGACACTGACCACGGCCACACACCCTTGAAGGAATTCACGGCGGAATCCCAGGCAACCGGCAAAAGGCACAAATTGGGCTTTGTAGAAGTCAGTGCTATGTCTCCTATCATGTCGGGGTTCATAGGTTCACCCCAAATGGCTTGCATCCCTTTTGCAGTCCATGCAACCTGAAAAAAAAAACTCGAGCCATTCCGAGCAGCAGGTCTGTTTCTGCCAAATTGGTGCTGATTGACAACTGTTTGTGAAGGCTATTTACGGGCATAGGGAGTGAAAGTCCATGGCGACGATGTAAAGAAATGCAAGGTTCTTGGGATCCTTTCACGCCTAGGCTTCCTTTTTGGGATGAGCTGTTTGGGATAATTACGTAGTCCTGGTCGCATGTGGATGTGGATTGTACAAATCATAGGATTGGGTGGCTTTGTGCTTCGTTGTTTCCTTAACTCGTTGATGCGTTTGGGAGGTCCGATTTAGTACTGCTTATTTTCAACGAGGATCCCCAGAAGGATCCAAGGGCAGATAACGGGTGCTATGGCTGCCCACCCGCAAGCAAACCGGGCGAGAAAGTGGAGCATCATACCAGCGAGAACCGTGAGAGCCAGTTCACACAACCCATGTGTTCATGGGAGAATTGGCTTGGGGATAGTCAGACGCCGCTTTGATAGGGGAGAGAAGTGGTTTGGATAGTAAAGCATCTCTAAGTGGTACCGATCCTCTTCTTAGCGGCCGACCACAGGATTTGTCGCAAAGCGGCTGTCTACCGTGATCAGATCCAGTGCCCAGCAGCTGTCATTGCTCATTGCACCTCGGCTCGGGCAGAGACCCCGGTTGGCACAGCTGCACTCAACGAGCTCACCCATGATGTTGGTTCTTTAAGGGGGAAATCTGTGCCTGAGGTGAGATACTAGTCAGTATGGCATAATGTTGCCTAGCCCCATAAACCTGAACTCCAAGTTTCCTTTGCGGGAGGTCTACCTACACCCTCTCTTCAAGACTGAAGGGGCGGTGTTCATTCTGACTGCTTTGTGTACGTGGATGGTGCAACCTCCAGATCTGGTGTGACTGACTTCTCATCAACCCGAGAAAGGGCCCTTCAATGGGCCCTTCACTGGGCTGGATGGTTTTCATGCATGCCGTGCTGCACATCCCTGGGGTTCAAACCACCATCAAAACAAAGGGTTCATATAACCACCATCGTTTACCTGAGGATTGTCAGCATCCAAATTGGGCCAACCAGTCTTTTAATGGGGGTTGAACCCCAGGGGACATGCAAGATTTCTCTAATAATCGGAGGCCCAAACATGTTTACAGCTGGATTCGTATGTGTGTTTTCCAACTCTCTCCTCATGCCATCGGATTCTCGCATACAGTCATGCAGAGGCATGCTTTGTCTTTGGACCTTCCACGGGAAATCAATTTGGCTGGACACAGAGGCGTTCTGAACTTCCAGTGAGGCACAGAGGGGGGTCATCCTTAACAAAGACATACATGGTCTCTTTGACCCTTCCCTTGACAGTTTCTACCATCCCCCTTAGACGAGTTTCATCTTCAGGGTGAATCAGCAAGGGATATGCTAGCTTCTGCATTCTTTCCAGGGATCCCTTTTTCAGATATGCACCAGACACCCAGCGGCTTGCAATTGGAACAGGTTATCAGACTATGGTCGACTTGGTTCACGTAAAGGGGACTCCATGGTCATAGTCGATAGTTGTCAAACAGTGAACGGGAAACAAACTTTCATGTACCGCTTGGAGTGTTGTTTCTTGTTTGAAGTGACTGCAAGGGTCATGGTTGAAGAGAGAGCAACCACGACATGTTCGTGGAGCCTGAAGCAAATGAAGAACACTGTATCCTCGAACCCACCCACAAGGAGATAACCTTCTTTCTATCCGTTTGCTGCTTGGGGCTTTGCGCACGCCGATGTAACGCTTGTCAGGTGTACTTCTTGGGGGATATTTGGCTGAACCACAAGACCTTCGACTGGCCTGTCGGCACCACCGCGCTGGCCCCTTGGAGAGCAACACTCGTGGGTGTCGGTGTCCTTTTTGGTTTCCCTTTTGGCACCTTTTGCAACAACCAATTGCACGACCCCCCTCACTTGGGTATGTGTGAAAATAAGGGGACATAAAAGTTGTCTTTGGTGCATTTTGCTTGGATGTTAGGACTTTAGCTTTTTGCCAACTAATGGGTTTTCCATTATTAAACTTTTAGCAGGGCAGCAGAAAGCAGCCGAGTCGTACTGCCTCGCGCCGCTTGCGCTGGCTGAGGTGATTGGTTTGTCAGTGCAGGTCTTTGCCTTTGCGGGCCAAGCGGACAAGGCTGGATGAGAAACGGGAGAGGAAGAGTAAGCGGCCCAAGCGGCCCAAGCCCTTGGAGTTGGGTGAAAGTAGATGGCACAATTCTCTCATTTTGGGTTGAACACGAAGGGCGGTTGGGGTCGGGGTCAGGGAACCATGAGGAGGTTGGGTACGTTGCGTCACCAGGGTTATCCCCCACACAAGCACGGATGCCGTTGTTGAAAAGCCAGGGGAGTAATCAAGTCTCAACAATAAATCGCGCACTCAAAGTTCTTTACATTGCAACATTCACATTAGTTGGGTAGACGGGTAGACGGATTGACAATGAAAAGCCAGGCTTTTGGGCAAAAGTTGCCATCTCATGAAACCCACCACTTAGTCGGGACGAGGCAGGAGGGGCCGGAATTGGTCTGGTGGAGGGACGCTTTCAATATTTTTGGTTGACAGTGGTACTGGATGTGTTTGAGTCGATGGTCTCAAAAAAGAAGCTCGGAGCTTGTTTTCAGGGTTGTCTTTCGCAGGTTTCTTTTGGGAGGTATGCTGATCTGTTCAGTCATGGTTTGGCGAAGGAGCATCCTGGAACGGGGTGTCCGGGCTTGGGTTTCGGCCCCTGGGTGTGCGGCTTTTCAGCTTCCAACATGTCATGCATGTTTTCTTGTTGGTGCCACACCCAGTTGTCCAGCTGGGGCTGTCTCATTTTAGGGCAATCCTAAAAATTGCTGGTTTCCTTTTTGGTGTTCCTTTGAAACCAGCCATACGGTGGTTCCCAAAAACACATGCCCAGGTAAACTTGATGTTCATGTGAGCGGCGTCCAAACTCCGTGTACATGTTTAGTAAAGTAAGAATCTTGTCATATCGACCTGCGCAGAAGCAAAAAGTCCACGCGCGTAAGGTGACGTAAGCTGGTGGCGTAAGCAAATCCTCCACATGTGTCGCGCAAGGAAAAACTCCACGCGCGTAAGGTGACGTAAGCTAGAGGCGTAAGCAAAATTATATGACATAGCAAATCATGACACATTTAGGACGTGGCTTTTGTCTTCTTTCCTTTGCCCAAGTGGTGTGTTGCCTAAGCGATGCCAGTCCAGAGGTCTCAGATCGTCGGATTCCGATCTGATTCGGTTCCATTGAAGATCCAGCGGACGTTTTCGCGCGCCGCTTCAATGCGCAATTCGCGCCAGGCAGTTTGAATTTGGTACAGGCCGCTTGACAGCAATAGGTGATAAGGCTCCCCAATCCCATTGCTGGCCTATTAGGAGCAAACAGGTTCCTCTTGGTGCCTCTTTTTGGGAAGAGTCCCTTTGAGAGGCCCTGACATGGGGATAAGTGTCGGGTCAAACGGAAAGCCCACTTGGTGCCTGCTTTCTCAGGCAATCGTTTGAGGGGCTTTTGGGAATGAAGCGAAAATTCGGGTGGGCTTGTTTTAGGGGGGTTCGAAGTTTGGGGGAAATCTCAAGGGGATGATTTGAGGGGTTTTGTAAATGTTTGATTGAAAATCGCTTGTTGTGGTTCGGGGTGGGATCTTTTCTGAAACCATCTGGATGGTTCAGTTCGTGGTTCCAACTTATTCCCCACCTGTCGAACCGGGAAGTTGCAAGCAGATCCCGTTGGCTTGCTTTGATACCAAAGAGCGTGGTGCTGGGTGGACGATTGGGTCAGCTCACTGTTACGAGCAATGGTTCGCCGCGCTTGCGGTTCAACATAGGAGATCTCTAACTTCTTGGCAGGGGATCTGCATGTGTATTTGGTGTGTCTCCAAAATGGGCGGGGGGATCCCGCAAAATGAGTTGTGTTCTCTTGCAGGCCTCAAGCAGGTATTCTTTGATTGGCGCTTTGGACGGCCCGTTTCAGGCAAGCTGATCTGGCTGCGTGTCAAAATTAGATTCCAGGAAGCGGCGTGTTGATTTTGTTTTGAGGTAAGCCAATAATTGGTCTTAGCCTAATTTCACACACTTGAGGGAGTTTCATCCAAAGGTTTGCGCCGGTTTCTGCATCAGCTCCTAAAAGGGGCCTTTTCAGGTCGTACTTGGATCTGTGTCTGTACTTTTGCGAGGGAGGCCTTGAGGGAGTTTCCTTTGTTTCTCGGGAACAACAGCCAGAAAGAGAGAGGATAGAGAGACAGAGAGGGAGAGCGGGGAGAGAGTGAGAGACAGATCAAGGGACTCTAAACAGGTTTTGGCAAATCGGTTCCAGCTTGCTCCAAAGGACAATAGCAGTGTAGCATTTTAGACTGGGTTAGAACCCATTTAGGGTCAAACAGAGACGCAGAGACAGAGAGAGTCCTCAGGACCTATGGCAGGCGATCTTTCGGAGTGCTCCAAGCGAAGCCTTGAGTCCGACCGACCTGGGCAGCTTTCCAAAGTTTGTGCACGGGATGGTGCAACCAGGGGCATCTATGTGCTACATGTGGATGCGTGTGTATTCGCAAGTGTAATTTAAGTAGCTAAGTGTAGATGCTATATTAGATTGAGAATATGCATATATATATACAACTGAAGCTGGACACTTACATAGGTAGATCGATGGATCGATACATCGACACATCGGCAGATCGAGGCATCAGTACGTCGATAGATGGATAAATCTATACATATTGTATGTATATATATATATATATGTATGTATATATATGTATATTATATATATATATGGTACCCCACCCCCCGATGGATCTACCTAAAAGCTTTTGAAGGCCATTTTGGAGATTGAATGCAGTTTAGTTTTATTTGGAATGCCCCATGCGACTTGACCAGCATCAGCTCACCGCAAGCAAGGACATCCTCTTCAAAATCTAATTTGGAATAGCAATTCCAAGTATGGGGTTTCTTTGAAAAGGAAATTCTGTTTAAAGTATCTATAAAGTCAGAAATCCTACTTCCTTATTAGATTCCAGTGAATTCTGAATAGAAAGTGGAGAAACAATATCCCGGGAAAGGACGTGCTCTTTAAAGTATATTTTGACGTAACAATCCCAGCTCGCAATGTTCTTCAAAATGGAAGTCGTTCTCATATAATAATATGTAAGTCTAGACATTATATTGGGTGTTGTTCACGATAATATGATTTATATTTAAGTTCTAATTAGAAAATTGAAGAATTCATCATGGAAAAAGTGTTGTACATGTAATACGAAATAACAGTTCCGATTATAAAAACAACACTTCTTTAAATAACACTTATGTAAATTATCTTTAACACTATAAATTATATTATAATTATGTCCGTATTCAGTTCTATTTTAAATATGCCAACAAATCAACCCGGTTGAACATCTAGTGTCAAATAATAGTTTGATTACACATCGTGTTTGACAAGAAAACCCTATTTAAAGTCTCTTTAGGCTAGAAACTCAACTAGGGTTTGTTCCTAATGAAGTTTCATTGCATTTATATTTAGAAAATTGAACAAACCCAATGATAGGAACATATCCGTTTAACTGCATCTTTCAACTCTATCTTGAGACAATAATTATAATTTATGTTTGATTGTTTAATACTTATCGAATGCTTTGAATTCCAAGCAGAAACACTGAGGTTATTTGAACAAAGTCATGTTTTCAATGAAGCTCATTGAGCAACAATCTACGAGAAATAAGTCCGATTCCTACACACGTGCGACAATAAACCCCAAACCCCACACCTAAACCTGTCCATCTGAGGTTTGGTCAGAAGATGCAAAACAGCAGCTATGTTGGAGCCAATGGCCCAAAAGTGAAAGCGTAAAACAGTACATTCTGGAGCAGACCCAAAAGTAGAAAAGTAAAAAGTCAACTATTTCAGTCCATGGTCAAAGCATTCTACTTCAGGACTATGGGCTGATTTGTGTTACTTATTTTACTTTTTTTACTGTTTACTTTTTTGCTTTTTTTACTTTTACGTTTTTACCCGTTGTTTTCTTCCCTTTTGGGACATTGGCACCAGGATCTTACTTTTTTTGCTTTTGTACTTGTTGGGTCATTGGCTCCGTAGTATTTTACTTCTTTACTGTTTCACTTTTGGGCCAATGGCTCCATCATAGCTGTTGTGTTGCATCTTCTGACCAAACCTCAGCTTAGAAATTCGACAGAGGTGGGGCTAAACCGACTGGATTCAAGATTCGCTGAAACAGTTTGGAATAAAGCCTTTCACATTGTCTTTGGAAATGAGCCTTTGCTTGCAGCTTTCCCCAAAGCCCCGCAAAAGGCAGAAAACACTGCACATACCAGTGAATTATGAAGAAAGGTAGATCCATGGGGGCGGGGTCCTATATATACATGTATAGACATGTGTATATATCGTTAGGTAGTTACATAGATATATCGATAGACGCACAGATAGATCGCCGAATTAGATTGATCGACAGACAGATAGATACACAGACAGATAGAGAGACATTCATGTTCAGTGTTGACATCGCTTGTTTTTTTTGTCTCTCTCTCTCTCTCTACATGTTTTAGAGATCCAGACGCATGCTCATATACATGTATTTGTATATATATATATAGATACATACACATCATCATGTGAATAGTCCGTCCTGATAAAGCCTGGGATAAGCTCCAAACAAGGCCTTTTAAAACAGATAGGCCCCCTCCCCAAGACTCCCCTTGGAGTCCGTATGCGTTGCCCAGTCGGCTCGTTCGTCGGCTTTTTCGCTTGGAGTGGCCCAGTTTTCTCAGTCGAGACTCGGCCACCTAGGGCCGACCCCATTTACTTCCTGGTTCGAGGTCGCCTCAGCAAAATATTCTAGGAGTTGATTCCCCATTCTTTTCAACCATCGTTCTTTTCAAAAACCTGCCGTTTTCCCTGGGATTCCGGAGGTTTTCTAGAAAGAAGGATTCCTGGAAAGAATGGGAAAGGTACCCCTAGAGCTACAACCAGATTGTTGTGAACCGGATTGTTGTTGTGCGCTTTTGACCAATCGAATCCGCGAGCGCGATGCGGAACTTCGGGGTGGCCAAGTTTCATCGCCAGCCGCCTCGCTCCCTCCGTGCTTGGTGGAGGGGCGTACGCGGCAGGCGGCCGAGCGGATCGCGGCCGATCGCGCGTGAGCGCCCAAAAGGAAAGCGATTGACGGGCAAATGTTGTGCCTCCAGGAGTTTTTTCCTTTTTTGTCGGGGTCCCCCGAAATGGGCGTCTTTCCTGTTGGTTTCCCCTTTAAAACCAACCGAAAGAAGGGTTCCCAAAAATAAAGAGACACCCCCATGGAGTATGACATTTAATGGTGGGAATGGTGGGAACTTCTCCAAAGCATATTTTGACCAGAATCCGCAGGATGATGTCGAACAAAGGATCCAATGAATTTTGACATTTCGCCATTCATAGCATGAAACGCCGCCCATGTTGCTAGAACTGCAAGTAAATGGGTTTGGGGTCGCCGCTGCTCACATGGCCGCTGGCTAGTTATTGCAATGTCCACCTTCCCCGAATTGTGGAGGGTGAAATTGCAGCAGTTGACATAGCGGTTTTGAGACAGGTGTTATTTGTCATATTACTTGCTGATTGCCATGCGAATAAACGGTTGCAGAGACATGATCGCGGCCTATGCCATCCAATCCCTGGCACGAGAGTTGCTCACTCGGTGCCGACCAGGGCGCCATAGGTGGGAAATGGACATGCGGCCGGGGCTTGTTGGCGTCGTAACGGCGGCTTGTTTGTCCTTTGTGGAATGGCCCCATGCACCTGGGAAGGTTGGGTGCTTGGGGAGTTGAAAGGGGAAGGCTCCATTCAAGAACTAGGTGGATGGTTGCACTAGATGCACATTTAGATCGTTTCTACGGTTGCTTGGAGGGTTCCATTTTTGCGTTCTTCATTGGTCAGGGTTCCCCCAAAGGGTTGACATGGAAGGACCATAACTTGGGCTCGCTTCCCACGATTCCGCACTTCAGTCACTTTTTGGGGCCGACCATTTGAGAGCCAAACAAGCTCAGACGTTTGTTGGGCCAATCGACTGAAACAGTGAGAGGGGGATGCACGCTTTTCTGCGATATCGAAGTGGGGTTCTATGTTGCTGGTTGACAGGGGAGACTCCTGGGTATCACGAAAAGGGAGAGTTTTTGACTGACCCCTTTGTGGCAAGACATGTTGGTTTCATTTGTCTTTAGCCCCGCAACAGGGTCTCCGCCAGAGACACACATGGGTGTCGCTGTCTTTGCGCGGGACGTTTAAGAGGGATCAAAGGGACATAATTTTATGTCGGGTCCAACGTTTAAGTGTTCTTGTCCTAGGAAAACATGGATATGTCTAGATAGGGGAACCTTTCAAATAAGCTGAAAAGGGACCCTCAAAACACACAAACCCAACACTTGGAGACTTCAAATCGACTGGGAACCCATTGGTGGAAAGGGGTGGCGCCCGAGCAACAAGGCCTTGGGGCATACCGCATTCTTTCGTTTGGGGTGTCCATGTTTGTCTCCCCCTGGAAATCCACTGCACATCTAAGCAGCTGGTAAATGGCGAGGTTGTCCAAAGGAAATCCCCGTTTCTTATGCCAGATGTTAGGGATGCCTTCATTTTTAAAACCACCGGCACGGGGCTGCATGGCGTGCGAACCACCGAAGCAATCGTTCCCCCAAAACATCCAACGCCCGCTACTTAAACTGCTTTGAATTTTGAGAGAACCATAGCTTGTTAGGTAGGGGGCCTTTATTGATATAGTGATCTCTTCCAAAACCATTGTAAGTTTTGGGGTTGACAAATATGAAGCAGAATCCGAACGTGTGGTTTTCTTAGTACAGATGCGGGGAGAAGATTGGGGGCCACAAATCAAGCTGCCGATTTGGAGATTCGGAGGCCAGGGTGAAGCTTCACAGAGATGTCATCGAGCTCGCTGCCAGGGACCCCAAAGACTTTCCTGAGAGGTTCTGCTTGTAGGGGTTGATTCCTTGTCCATTCTTTTCAGCCATTTTTCAAAAACCAGCCAATTCCTCAGGGTTTTTTGGTGGTTTTCTGGAAAGAAGGATCCCTGGAAAGAATGGGGAAGTTACCCCTAGACTTGTGTCTATGTGCTGAAGGTTATGAATCTTAGTACCCCAAAAACCTGTTTGAGGAAGCTCACTCTCTGAATGCCTGGACTTTATACTGTATCGTCCTGGACCATGTTGGCCGCAAACAACAAGTTCGCGGGTGTTTTGGTGAACACTCCCGAAGTGCGTTTATGGCTATCCCACGTTTGAGGTGCAAGGGACCGCCCAGGCAGACTGGGGTTCCATGGCTTTATTGCAAAGAGGCGAAAAATTGAAATGGTCGCAGGGAAACCAAATTACCTCGTGATGATGGGAGAACAATGATTGTATTCCTCAGCTTCAACATTTGGTTGGACCACCATTTAAAGTGTCTTCCAAATTGTGGTGCCCTTGAAACAGTGGGGGGGTTG